TGTTCCTCCCACAAGCTCCATTTAGTTGCACAATCAAAAAGCCTGAGCACTCTCTAACTCTGTTCTTTCTGGTACTTCCAGGATATTCTACCAGCAAAACCATTGCCTCTGTTCTTAAAATACATCTGGATCCTAGCCTTATTCCCCATCTCTATTTTGAGTAAATGTGCTACCAACAATAACCTGGATTCCCCCCCCCCGCCAATTCTTCCTTAAATGTTTTCTCTCTCTACCTCTAGCCATCAGCTTTCTGTGCTGCAGTCAAAATGACTTTCCTAAAGCATGACATCAGGCCCTATCACTTCTCTGCTTAGAACTGCCCCATGGCTCCCCATCTCATTTCAAGTCAGAGTCAAACCTGAGCACTTCAAATAGCCTGCAGCCCCCCTGGGCCTGCCTCCCTACACCCAGCTCTCTTAGGCACCCTTTCCACAGCTGTACCTCCCTTAGCAACTTTTCCAACACACCTTCCATTCCTCAGCCTCAAGCCTTTATACATACTCTTTTAAGTCATCTTCTCGGGCTCAGGCCTTCTAGTTGGGTGTCTAGGTCCCGAGGGTTGGGATGCCCTCTCTGACCACACCCAGCCCTCCTGAAATTCTCTGCAGCGGCATTGAACCCTCTAGCACTTTGTGGGGTATTTTTCACTGGTGTGGTGTTTGTCTGGTCCATAAGAAGTAAGCCATCTGAGAGCAGAGGGAGTTTATATGCTTCCTTATTTGTTTTTAATCATCTGTATCTATTGGTGTCTTTGTCAGTGTCCTGGGTAGTACTTGGTATATTTTGATCACCCTAAAACTTTTCCTAACTGGAAGCTGATGCACAAGCTACATGTTTCAAGGTATATAGGCTGCCGAGTGCAAAGCCATGGACAAGCCTGCTAGAGACTTACAAAATGCTTTCCGAGTCAGGATTTCTTACTAAAGAGTTATGAGGCAATGACTATTCATTAGTATCAAAACTAGAGGCAACCTTGGAGATGGTATGTGCTGTGTAATATTGATACAGGCACTAGGGTTTTGTGCCCTCACCCATGACCTGCTGTAATCTTTCATTCTATATACACACTGATTATTGTGGAAAAGGCTGTCAGAATTAAAGGCAGAATCCATAAGATGGGACCGTTTCAATGGGCACACAGACTAATAAGAATACATTCTTTATTGGCTTTTCATCTGGATTTTCTAACCCTACAGCTAGAAACATAACAAGGGAACATGGGATCATTAAAACCAAATTCTCCAAATGAGTGAAAACAAACAAACAAACAAACAAACTTCTTTTTTATTGATGAACCAATTCAAGTGCTTTTTAAAAAGACTTGGACAGAGAGTGAGTGGGGGCGGGGAACACCATGCAAGCATGGAGACCTGAATTCAGATGCCCGGTACTCACATCAAAGCTAGGCGTGGCTTATTTACCTTCATGAACACGTATATACAACACACATTCACCCGAGCGCGCGCGCACACACACACACACACACACACACACACACACACACACACACACACGAGGCTCAGGTAAAGAAATCAGAAAAAGTTGGAGGTGTAGAATTGAAGTGAAATAATTGGGCTGAAAATATACCTCAGTGACAGAATGCTTACCTGGCATCCATGATGCCCTAGGCTTCACTTCCAGCACTGGGAAGAGACACCCTGCTGAAAATGAAATCAGCCCCTGAGTATATGGGGGGGGGGGGGAGGAAGGGAGGCTAACTGGAACATAATGAGGAATTCAGCAAGTGTAGACTTTATGAATCTACTCTTTTAAGCAGCAGACAAATAGTTGAAGCAGAACTTCAGGTGGCAGGCAGCAGCTAAGAGCTGGGGAAACACAGGCAGTTCCTGGAGGCAGGCATACGCACACTGCCGGAGTGGGACCATCGCTGCTTCTCTGCATTTCCCACCAGTGGTTCTAAGGCCATGCCAGGGGATAAGCCACCAACACAGCCACTTTGTGTGGGTCACGGTGCAGTAGTCGCTGAGGAGATGTCCTCGTGTAGCAATGACCACCCAAAGCTAGATTCAATCCTTCTGGTTCGAACCAAACAGAGGGAGAGGGTCCCTCGACAAGCTTAGTGTGGCCTGGTGTCCTAAGGGGGATGTCTGCAGCACCACCCTGCCCTTGCCACACACACACACACACACACACACACACACACACACACGCACACACACACACACACACCATTAGCACATCCTATGACGATGATCAACATTTAAACAAGAGAAAAAAACACTGTCCTGCCCTTACCACAGTCCCTCTTGCTCAGTGCTGCTTATTTCATTATTTAATTTTCAAATTTTAAGGGGTTCATGTCCTCTTAACCTACGACAAATTTCACCAAACATGTACAGCATGGAAATATTTCTTTGTTTGTTTAATTAGAAATCAGGACCAGAGGAAATATAAACTAGAACTGAAAGTCTAGTGGACAGAGGAAGTAAAATATTACTCATTATAGTGGTCTAAAGAGCTCTCCAAGTTGAGCAGGACTTCTGGCTTTGTGATAATCTAGCAGCCAGAGCGAAAAGAGAAACACAACCATTACATGGCCACAAGCAGAAAACACAGGAGTTCCTCAGGGGAAGCAAACCATTTCCTGGAATTCAGATCTGCAAGAACTGCTCGCAGAAGGCTTCATGGTGGCGGGGGAGGGGGGGGATCATGAGTAACTCACCAAGAGCATGCCCAAAGCCACACCCCCAACCGAGGCCGAGTGGAGCTGTTCTTGGAAAAAGATCTTTAGGAAAATCAAGGGCATGCGCTTACAGCCATTCTATCAGAAAGACTATGGAGACAGAATTGACCACCTACGGATCTTCATCTAAAGGCCCACACTGACCATGACACTGTTTCCTCAAACAGTCCTCGACATACGCAAACTGACCAAAAGAATTAACCTTCCCGCCCAAGCGGGAGGAATTTACTAGATGGGGCTGGCCAAGTCTCCCTTGCTATTCTTGTGGGTTTTTTAAGCTTATCTGTACTGTGGTAAAGTAAAGCTGTATCTTCCAGGACTCGTGAAGGGCTTCTGAAAGTGCTCAGGACGAGAACCACAGATAGGAACGTGTCTGGAAAAGCGGGGACAGGAGTGCGAGGGAGGGACAAACATAAATGGCAAGCTCGTTATAAATAAAGGGGGCCGGCTGTGACTGCGCCCCTCCTGTAAGTGTGGCGCATTTTGCCAAAGCAGTGCTGCCTAGTCACTGTGAGGCAGCCTTGAGCTGGCTGGAGGTGGGAATGTGGCCTGAAAAGCCCGATGGAGACTTCACACCGGGAAGAGCCAAAGGCTTGGAAACAGTAGAAAATTACCAGAGCCCTTTAAAGCTTCCTTTCCAGTTGGAACCTCAGGGATTTTAGGTTATATCGCCACCTAGCTGGTTATCCCTTTTTTAAAAAAAATTTTATTAATTACAGTTTATTCACTTTGTATCCCCCCTGTACCTCCCTCTCTCCTCCCCTCCCAATCCTACCCTCCTTTTTCCCCACCCATGTCCCTCTCCCAGTCCACTGAAAAGGAAGGTCCTCCTCCCCTTCCCTCTGACACTAGTCTATCAGGTCTCATCAGGAGTGGCTGCATTGTCATCTTCTGTGGCCTAGTAAGGCTGCTTCCCCCTCAGGGGGAGGTGATCAAAGAGCAGGCCAATCAGTTCATGTCAGAGACAGTCCCTGTCCCCATTCCTACAGAGGCCACTTGGATACTGAACTGCCATGGGCTGCCTCTGTGCAAGGGTTCCAGGCCATCTCCATGAGTGGTCCTTGGCTGGAGTATCAGTTTCAGAAAAGACCCCTATACCCAGACTTTTAGAATCTGTCGCTGTCCTTGTGGAGCTCCTGTTGTCTCCAGTTCTTACTATCTCCCCCTTCTTTTATAAGATTCCCTGCACTCTGCCCAAAGTTTGGCTATGAGTCTCAACATCTGCCTCAATACCTGGCAGGTAGAGCCTTTCAGAGGCCCTCTGTGATAGGCTCCTGTCCTGTTGCCTGTATTCTCCCTCCTCCAATGTCCATCCTCTTTGCCTTTCTGAATGGGGATTGAGCATCTTAGCCAGAGTCCTCCTTCCTGATCAGCTTCCTTAGGTGCACAGATTTTAGTATGGTTATCCCTCTTAACTGTCTTCCATGTTCCACACTTCTGCCCATGGATTGTGCCTAGCATGTATAGCACATTGTGCTGTGCATTCAGTGACACCCTAGGACAGTAGCAAAGAATCCATGGAAAGCACACTAGTAAAATCTCCCTGTGACCCTTCCTCCCCTCCTTCATCTTGTGAGTAGAATTTAAAATTCTACCAAATTTTTAACTATATGGACCAAATATATGGGGGAGGGGGGACCTCTGAAGAATGCCATTGAGTGAGCCAGAGTTGTAGCTGATCTGTTTGCCTCACCAACAACATATGTCCAATCACCTGACCAGGCAACATGACCAGGAAGTGATTACAGATCTGGTAGAGAATAAGCAAAGGTTATGGAAAACAGACAGTTACAAGCAGGGCCCAAATCTGATGAAAATCCCATTTTTGCCATTTGAGGAGTCACTTGTTCTAGTCTTTCTGCCTGCTCCCTTCTGAACACATGGCCTCTGTTAAATATTTAGCAAAGGAAAAATACCTGGTGGAGGGTAAATTTACCTGACACAGCTCTAAGAACAAGGTAATATTTTTCTAAAGCTTGAATTTCATGTTTCAGACATTCGTTTCCCCCAGCGACTAATCTGAGCTCTGTATGTTATCACACTCAGAGATATGACTCCTTAAAAGGGAAAGCTTGACCGACACGCACAAATAGACACAGTACTATTACAAACCAGCACTGTGGCCCACACCTGGAATCTCAGGGTTTAGAAATCTGATGCAGGGGGATGGTGAGCTACTCAGCAGGATCTTGTCTCAAAATCCTCTTCTAAGGACACCTCAACACAGTGTGCGATAGCAGACATTTTCTGCATGGTGCTGGGAGGCGCAGCTAGCCATCCAACCAGGCGCACCTACCCGCTTGCTGTTCTCTTCTTCTTGAGTCTTCCTGAACTCATGCTCAAAGGAACAGTCCAGCTCACTGAAGAGACCCACTTCCTCACAGTTCTTCAGAAATCTCGTGGGCGTCGGAGTCTGATCTGAAAGCAGAGGCCAGAAATCAATGACAGGGATTTTACTCCAGTGCATGGTAAGTGGAACCAAACTCCTCCATCACCTTAACATGATGCCCAACAGCTGCTGGCAATCTTCCAGCCTGTTAACCACCATGGCTGTGTGGAAGACAAAGCACTGGAAAGAAGATAGCCATACGTAAGGACTCCCCAGCTCTCCTGACCCACCTCCCCACCTTCACCCCTAGATAATAGTAAATATTCTGCTCTCTATCTGGAATTAGTGTCATCTGAATACACATCATTGCGTGGAAGGGGAATGAACCTTCTTATTTCAACTGGTAAAAAATGATTTCTCTAACATTAACACCAGAAGATCTCTTATGCCATTCTCAAACTTGACTTTAAGGAGTTTGGAAAGAAAATAAGTGTATATTTTTGTAGAAAACAAAAAGAAATAAACAGGCCTCCTCATTCCTCCTTCTTAATGCAAAAAGTAGCTCAGCAATTTTATCTCCTCATAAGAACCAAGGGAAAGATGATAAGAGGTTCCAAGTCAAACACGTTCAGCTTCCATCTTTTATAAAATATATCATTATCGATTTTATTTTCCTTCGCTGTAGCCAAAAGAATGTTCTGCAAATATTCTCTAAAAGGAAAGGAATTTCTTTCATAGTTTGGACTTTCTGCAGAGCTTTCTCTTTAGAAAACTGGAGGAAATAAAGCCATGATCTGTGGATGCAAAATTTGCAGTCTATGTAATATGTGCACATTCATGTATCCTCTGGAATGTAACATCACAAGAGAGTAAGTAAAACAGAGTTACACATTTGTAGTCCCCAAGAGTGGCCATCTTCCTTCAGATTACACTTGACATGAATAGTGCTGAGTAGAATTCTTTTTACCAAGGCAGAAGATACAAGAGAAAGAAGAAAAGGGTACCTAGCTATCACACACACACACACACACACACACACACACACACACACACACACTCAGGACTCTGCTTACTTTTCTACAGTATATAAAGTAGTTAATCCCAGCAACAGTAAATATCAACCAAGTTATCCTTATCCACAGAACAGCAGGTGGATGGTTACCTGCCCTCCTCCATAGAACCAGCCCTTCAAAGGCAACATGTCTTCATTCCCTGTAAGAAAGGGGCATTCAGTACCCGAGAGATGGCATGGATTCTGGGTCAGCAAAGTTCTACTGGTGTTCTTTCTCTGTTTTTAACTTCAAGAGCCAAGATTCTGATTCCCTACTACCGATGACCCGGTAAGTCAAGCGTTATCTAAAACAGTTCTGGGCTTTGCACAAGTGACTTTTTAGCACATTAAGCAGACGTAGATACTGATGTATCTCAAAATATTCTTATAACCATTGTGTGATTATATAAACAACACACTTATGCAGGACTTTCACCCATATTGCCTCACATGTGTCTGTAATTAGGGTAGGCGCTATTCTGGAAATAGAGAAAAGGTCTTCCTAAACATAACCACACAGCCTAAAATCATCTCATTAAAAATCTGTCACCTTCAGACAGGATCTCCTTTCTATCCAAATTCAGTGTTTTGCCCTTACAAGCTCAAAGGACTTAGGGTGTGTGTGTGTGTGTGTGTGTGTGTGTGTGTGTGTGTGTGTGTGTGTAAAACAATTTTGACAGCCTTACAATCTAGAAGTTTATATTTGGAAAATAGCATTAGAGGACATTAAGTACTTTTCCTAGACTTCATCTCCTTTATCTTTCAAATAAAATTCCAAAGGGTAAAGATTCTATGACTTCTAAACTCAGATTAGCTTCAAAAGCCACTGTCCACAGACCCAAGCAATAGATGACTCTTGAAAGGACAGTTAGAGGGAACCACCAGGAGCTAGTGACTGGAGCAGAAATAGGATTCAGAGCTACAGATGGGAACTTTTGACTAGGAAGCGCAGGCCAGAAACGGAGCACAAGAATAGACAGATGTGTGCACTGTCTGTGGAGCGCTGATTCCACCCCTGGCGTCTCTTGCTGGGCATGAAGCTGAGTGTCTCCCTTCCATCTCAGTAATGTTCACAGCAACTATGCTAGGCAAAAACTATTTTTCCTGTCCTATTTATGAAGAAATCAACTCATGCCTCAGGCCTCATATGTAAATTGAGTTCATAATTTTATTGGTAATTAATTGTTTTATCAATTCCTGGCATGGAGCCATTCTTGGAATCCTGCTACCCTTTATACAACACCTTGAATCTAAAGCCTCCCTTCTTTGTTGTGTCCCAAGAGTGCTCCCAGGGAAACACCATGCAACAGAAAAGTGGCAGGCCACTTGTCATCACAGGATTTGTTTCACTGGGTCTTTCTCATGCTCTTATTCCTCCATGCTTCTCTATGGGAGATTAAGGATTGAAGGTCACAGTTGCAACCAGCAAGACACGGCCAAGTGCACGAATTAGCCTTCTGAGGCAGCAGCAACAGAAATACCCCAAACGAGGGCAGCCAGAGCTCTTTTGGTAAATAACAGCTTACACGAGACCACACCTTAAAGACTCGCAGGACCTAGTTCCAATAGAAAAACAAGCTGCGCTAAGCATTTAAGGTCACCCTAGCAAAATCCTTGAGGCTATTGAGGTAATAGGAGATGGCCTATGACATTAACCACAGGTGACATGAGAGGGGACAGGCTCCAAACAAAGCTAAGAGACATTTACTTCTCTTCTACCGTGAAACGAAGGATTTGAAGATACTGGCACACAGATGTGCACAAAGGAGGTGACAATGGGAAGGACGCTGTTCTTCATCTTGGGCCTCTTCACCAGTGAGTCCAAACCCCATGGAACAACTAGAACCATGCATGGCAAAGGCAGTGGCTTCCCAGCACTCTGGGGCAGAGGGCGACCCTGGAGTTGTTTCCAAGTACGATTCTGCTTGCTGCATGCTGTCCAGATACCTGTGTTCTCCTTTGAAATACGCAAGGCACGCTGTTCCTAAGTTGTGATTCCTCTTGGTGAATGAGCTATTCTCTCCAGTTACAACAGAAACCAATACATGGAACCTCACTTCCACTTAACGTTTATTGGACCGAGTACAGGGTCTCTAGTCCTCTTTAATCTCTTATCCTACCAGCTCCAAGTAAGCCAGGAAATGTGCAAATGCTCAAAGAGGGAACAGCCCAACCTTTCAGTTGCATAAGTCATAGAGGCAGAAAAATTTCACTGCCACGAATGCCTTTGTCAAATAATTGTTTCTCCCGGAATCCCTTGAACTTAGTGGTTAAAGCCCATGGCTGTAAATTAAAATGCTTATAATCCTCTCCTTATTTAGATCCAAGAACATTAGTCAGCTCTTGTAGCAATGACTTCTGTATCCTGAAAGGGGATGGCTGTGCTTTTCTGGTGAACACAAAGGTGCATTCAGTGGAGACAAGCAACCCTGAGGATGTACAGGAGCTGGCTTTTTTAGGAATGCTGACCTGAGCAGTTAAGACTTTAGGCTTGCCTTTTATTTGACACTTCAGCAAGGAATACCCAGATAAGAGACAGGATGACCTCTGACCTTTTGAACATGCATGTCACCTGTGCTAAAAGTTTTGTGCTAATTACTCTCATATGCCTGAATGGATGCTGCTTAAACCCTTGCTGGCTACAGACTGGGAAAGGATCTTCACCAACCCTATGTCTGACAGAAGGCTGATATCCAGAATATATAAAGAACTAAATAACTTAAAAAGCAATAAATCAGGTAATCCAATTAAAAAATGGGGTACGGAGCTAAACAGAGAATTTTCTGCAGAGGAATATAGAATGGCAGAGAACGCTTAAAGAGATGTTCAACATCCTTAGCCATCAGAGAGATGCAAATCAAAACAGCCCTGAGATCTCACCTTACACCTATCAAAATCAAAAACTCAAATGACAACATATGCTGGAGAGGGTATGGAGAAAGGGGAACCCTCCTCCCTTGCTGGTGAGAATGTAAACTGGTACAACCACTTTGGAAATCAATCCGATGCTTTCTCAGACAATTAGGACTAGTGCTTCTTCAAGACCCAGCTATACCCAAAATTTGCTCAATTACACAACAAGGACATTTGCTCAACCATGTTTGTAGCAGCTTTATTTGTAATAGCCAGAAGCTGGAAACAACCCAGATGTCCATAAACGGAGGAATGGATACAGAAATTGTGGTATTTTTACACAGTGGAATACTACTCGGCAATCAAAAACGAGGAAATCATGAAATTTGAAGGCAAATGGTAGGATGTAGAAAAGATCATTCTGAGTGAGGTATCCCAGAAGGAGAAAGACATACATGGTATATACTCACTTATATAGACCTATAAGATATGATAAACATAATGAAATCTATAGACCTGGAGAAGATAAAAAAGAAAGAAGACCCGTGGTAAGATGATCAATCCTCACTTAGAAAGATAGATGGGATGGATATTGGATGTTGGAGAAAACAAGTAACAAGACAGGAGCTTACGGCAGAGGGCCTCTGAAAGACTCTACCTAGCAGTGTATCAAAGCAGCTACTAAGACTCATAACCAAACCTTTGGCAGGGTGTAGGGAATCATGAAAGAAGGGGGAGTTAGTATGACGTGGAGAGGACAGGAGCTCCACAAGGACCAAATATATCTAGGCACAGGAGTCTTTTCTGAGACTGATACTCCACCAAGGACCATGTATGGATATAACCTAGAACCTTTGCTCGGATGTAGCCTGTGGTAGCTCAGTAAGGTTTTCCTAATAAGGGGAACAGGGACTATTTCTGACAGGAACTTAATGGCAGGCTCTTTGACCTCCCCACCCTCCAAGGGAGGAGCAGTCCTGCTAGGCCACAGAGGAGGACTTTGCAGCCAGTCCTGAAGATACCTGATAAAACAGGGTCAGATAAAAGGGGAAGAGGTCCTCCCCCATCAGTGGACTTGGAAAGGGGCAGGGAGGAGATGAGGGAGGGAGGGTGGGATTGGGAGGGAATGAGGGAGCGGGATACAGCTGGCACACAGAGTTAATAAAATGTAACTAATAATAAAAA